AGCGATGGCCCCGGGGAGGCGGCGGCGGCAGGCCCCGAGGCCGAGCAGTTCCCCGAGAGCTCCGAGCTGGAGGACGACGACGCCGAGGGCCTGTCCTCCCGCCTCAGCGGCACTCTCAGCTTCACCAGTGCCGAGGATGACCCGGACGACGAGGACGAGGACGACGAGGCGGGCGCGGACTCGCTGCCCTCCGGAGACGGGACATCGGGAGAAGACGCAGGCGAGTGCGGGAGGTCGCAGACAGGAACCTCCGGGCTCGGTTAGGCCTCCCGGCTGGCCACGTCCCGAGAGCATCCCGGGGGCTCTGAGTATCTGCCTGAAACTCTTGACACCTTAAACGTTTGCAGACATTGTTTGGCTATGTGACCTTGAGTCACAACCATGGGAACCATCCCATTCCAGGGTTTTAGTGGATATTAAATGCACAGGACCAGGGGAACAAATGTATGGTGTGCTAGCTGCTTTGGGTGGAGATATTTAGCTCCCGTGAATGAGGTCATGCGTTTTGTTTACGCTAACCCCGGAGCTAGCTAGCCCCTTAACATACTGGTCATGTGCTTGTGCAGAACGAAGTCCCCCACCTGATGGACAACGGGGCAGTCAGCTCCTGGCTCGGCAGCTGCAGGATTTCTGGAAGAAGTCTCGGAACACCCTAGTTCCACAGCGGCTGCTCTTTGAGGTGACCAGCGCCAATGTTGTCAAGGACCCTCCCTCCAAGTACGTGGTGAGTGAGGTTCCAGGGACGCTTAGGCAGTGCGTCTAGAAGTCTGGCTGAGACAAAGTAGGGAATGCCACAGTTTTCCGGGGTTCTGGCTATGCAGTTGTAAATGGCTGTCCTTAGTTTACACCCGGGGGAACTGAGGCAGGATAAGTGACACTGAGAAAGTGACCTTTAAGGAGATGCCTCCTGTCACAACTGGTGTGTGTGCTGTTCTGTACCCCACGGGTTTTTGTCAGCTGCAGGAGACAGACTTGAGACCCAGTTGCATGGGTCGGGATTAAGGAAATGCACTTTGGGTCCAGATCAACCTTGATTCACATCGCATATATTTTCTCAGTGGCTTCACCGTGGGTGGGTTCTGTAGCCTTGATGGCCCCCAGTTTCCTCACTTGAGCAGTAGGACAGTACATAGTATTATAGTAGGAGGTAAAATAAGACCAGGCACAAATAACCCTTAGCATTGTCTGGCATTGTGAAATATTAAAATGGTAGCTATATAGTGTCAGATTCCCTAGTCTGAGATGCTTGAAAATCCTAAGCATTTGAGTGACAACATGATGCCACAAGTGGGAAATTCCACATTCAACTTCATGTGATGTGCGCTCAAAATGTAGGTCCATTCAAAAATATTGCATAAGGACCTGAAAGGCTAAGGCAGTAAGGCTGTCATGAGTTCAAAGGTAACTTGAGCTAAAGAGTGAGTGCCAGGCCAGCTAAGGATACACATCTAGACACCACACACACACACCAAAAAAAAAAAAAAAAAAAAAAAAAAAAAAAAAAAAAAAAGAGCCAAACACCAAGTGGGAATGTAGATGTAGCTCATTGATACAGCCCTTGCCTACCACGCTCAAGAACTAGCTTTATCCCAACCCTTCCCCCAAGTCATATAAAACTGCCTTCAGAGCTGAGTGTGCTGGTGCCGATGTTCCCATCGGTAGAGGCAGAAGTATCAGGAGCTCCGGGCCAGTCCAGATACATAGCAAGACCAGTGTGGGCTACATAAACCCTGTCTCAAAACAAAAACCCAAGCTGCCTTTAGGCTGTGTGTATAAAGTACATAAGAGATATAAATGACCTAAGTGGTGGTGGCGCACGCCTTTAATCCTAGCACTCAAGAGGCAGAAGCAGGCAGATCTCTGTGAGTTCAAGGCCAGCCTGGTCTACAGAGTGAGTTCTGGGACAGCCAGGGGCTGTTACACAGAGGAAACCCTGTCTCAAAAGACCAAAGAAAGAAAAGAAAAGAAATATAAATGAGTCTTAGGGGCCAGGCTGCAATGCTCAGCTGGTAGAGAGTTTATCTCCCACTACTTCACCTGGGTGTGGCAGCACACACCTGTGGTCCCAGGGCTTGCAAAGGGGAGGAGGATCAGGAGTTCAAGACCAGCCTCAGCTACATAAGCTCAAGGACAGTCTTCTGAAATAAATTGAGACCCTGTCTTAAAACAGTATTTTTAAAATTTACTTTATAGGCTTGGTATTTAGATTTGGGTCTTATCTCTAAGAAATCTCATTGTGTATATGCGAACAATCCAAAATCTGGACTATTTCTGGCACTTTGGATAAGGGATGCTCAGCCTGTATCCTTATCTAACTTTAGATTGGAAATGTCAGGTGTCTGGGGCCTGCTGCAACCCCGACCAATCAGTTCTCCAGCACTCTCACCTCCAGCACCACCAGGACTAAGTAGCCGAGTAATGAGCAGTATGGAGCCCAGCCTAGAGTCCCTGTTTTGGGTTTTTGTTTTTGTTTTTTCCTGTGAAGGAGAGACTAACCAGGTCTGAAACCCATCTGAGCTAGCTGGCCCTGTCCTGGCAGTGTAACTCCCAGCTTGTCACTTCCCTCCTCGTCACACCCTCCTCCACCTCTAGGGGGCCTAGAGCCCTGTCCCATATTTGGGTCTCTCCACTCCTCTCTGTTGCTGTTAGTAACAAGGACCACACCCATGAGGTGACTGTTCCACTTTTGCAGGGACTGACAGATGATGCAGGCTTTATATCTTGTTAAGGATCAAGTCCTTATGCACACTAAGCAGATGCTGCACCACTGAGCTATACGCTCCTAATGGTCCAATCTTAAGTGGCCATGTTCCAGAGCTCTGGGGTGGGTAAGGGGTCATGCACAGGAATGAGACACCAAGGATCAGTCAGCAAAGAGCAGCTCTATCAGAAAAGAATGGGGGTGATCTGGGGCCCTAGGTGGAAAGGCCCAAGGAAGGGCAGGGGCCATCTTCTGTCCTGACCTGTGTCTAGAAAATGAAGCCACCTCCTTTGTACAGTGGGCACTCCATGTCTCCATATTTCTTCTGGAGGTCAAGAGCAGGGGTTTTCGAATCAGATCTCAGGGCCAGTCTTTGCCCTTCACTCCCTCTTGGAGCCTGCTTCCTCAGCTGACAGAGACAAGACACTTTCTTGTTGTGTTGTTCATGGTGGCTAAGTGACACTTGGCTGGAGAAGTACTTGGTCCAGCACGAGGCATGGGGTAAGCACTTAGGTCTGTCAAGGGAACAACAGTCACACCATGCTAGGGGGGTGGGGTGGGGTGCTTGGGATGCTGTGGCCTCATGTACCTTAGGAAATACTCTGCCATTGGGGTTCAGCTGCGCACCAACAACTCCAACCACTGGTACCTGTCTTGGTAGTTCATTACAGGCATCGGGTGAAAAATAAAGGTGGAGGGGAGGAGTAGGGAGTAAATATGATCAAAATATGTTGTAGACATATATGAAACTCTCAAAGAATAAAAATATTAAGATTTTTAAAAACCTAGATACATAAAGGGCTACTGCAGAGCAGCTCGTCCTAAAGCATGTCCTGTGGGAAACAGCTTTTCTGGGGTGTGAATAACTGTAGAAAACAAGAAAGAGTGAGGCCTGTTAGACTTGTATGTCCAGTACTTGGGAGATAGGGGCAAGAGGATTAGGACTTCAAAGCCAGCCTAGGAGAAAAAAACAAGAAAGGAAAAGTTACATAGGCAGTGTGTCTGAACAGTGCAGAGTTGATGGGTATAAAATAGGTTTTATAAAACGCACTGTGAATCTACAAAAGAAGGAAGACTAGGTAAACCTAACGGAAAGATGGGACTATTAGCAGTTCTACTGGACACATTTGAGGAAATTGTCTGGGTTTGCTCTTTAATATGGAACACTTGCAGGTCCCCTTTAAACCATCAGCTTGGCATCAATCCTCATTAGTCCTGATTAATCCTTACTCTGGTTCTCAGGTCTGTGGACATCCTTGTTTGCCAAACAAGAATGATTACATCCTTACAGGGTTTTTGTTTGGATTTTCACAAGACAGGGTTTCTCTGTAGCTTTGGAAACTGTCCTGGAATTCTCTTTGTAGACCAGGCTGCCCTTGAACTCACAGAAATCTGCTTGCTTCTGCCTCCCAAGTGCTGGGCCACCACTGCCCAGCCAGTTTTTGTATTTAAAATGTTGCTACCAGGCCAGGGAAATGGATCAGTGGGTAAAGGCGTTTGTCTGACAACCTGAATTTGATCCCCAGAACCCATGATGGAAGGAGAATGACCCCCCAAAGTTGTTCTGACCTCCATATGTTACTGTGGCATATGTGCACAAATATTAACACACATACACACCACACCACATACAATTAAAAATAAAGTATAACTTATACCATTGTTTACTTAACTTTTGGTGGTGTGTGTGTGTGTGTGTGTGTGTGTGCGTGCGTGCGCGCGCACACGTGCGCGTGCATGTGTGCGTGAGCGCACTAAAACTAGGGCCCTGTGCATGCTTAGGCACAGGTTATATTCTCAACCTTCTTTTTTTTTTTTTTTTTTTTTTTTTTTTTTTGAAAGAGTTTTTTTTTGGTTTTTGGAGACAGAGTTTCTCTGTGGCTTTGGAGGCTGTCCTGGAACTAGCTCTTGTAGACCAGGCTGGTCTCGAATTCACAGAGATCCGCTTGCTTCTGCCTCCCGAATGTTGGGATTAAAGGCGCAAGCCACCAAGGCCCGGCCTCAACCTTCTTTTTATTTTTATTTTTTTTAGATAGAGTCTCATTAAGTGCCCCAGGATAATCTTGAACTCACTGTGTAACCCAGGCAGTCCTTGAGCATTGAATCCTTCTGCCTCAGCTCTGTTGTCACAACATTGTTCATTAAAGGAACCCTCTTTGCTAAATAAGTTTGAAAGCCATCTTTGTAGCATTACTTGTCAAAAAGAGAAGTTAAGAAGAATAGAGCTGCCAGGCCAATGACTCAGGCCTGTAACCCCCATCTCTTGTGAGGCTGAGATCACAAATTCGAGGCCTGCTTTTGCTACATAGTGAATTATTTAAGGCAATCCCAGGCAATTAAGTGAGACCCTGTCTCAGAGTGTGTGTGTGTATGTGTGTGTGTATATATATATATATATATATATATACTATAAGGTGTGAAGACAGGAGGTTAGGAAGAGGCCATCCTGAGATACCTAGCATGTTGGAGGCAGCTTGGGCTACATGAGACCCTGTGTCAAACAAATATTTGGGACAGGGACTGGAGACATATAGCTCAGTAGTAGTAGATGGTGTAATTAAGAAAAGTGGTGCTCATGAAAAAGACACATGTGACAGGGTTCAAGCACAGGGTTTTGTTTTGTTTTTTTAAATTAGGGAAAGGGATCATAAAAAGAGGAAAGGGAAGGGGGAAGACAGGAGCAGCAGGAGAGAAGAGAGGGGAGAGAGAAGGAACAGACAGACAGAGGGAGAAACAGAAAGAAAGAAAGAAAGAAAGAAAGAAAGAAAGAAAGAAAGGGAGAAGGAGGGATGGGAGGTGGGCAGGGCCCTTTTAAAAGGGAAAATAGTGAATACGCACAGATGATGCTCTTAGTGGCCGAGGGTGTATCCTGTCAGAACCCCAAGGACAGGCCAGCACAGATGCCTGAATACTAACAGCAGATGTTACATGACATGGGCAAAGGCCTAGGTTCAATCCCCAGAAGCACATATAAACACACACACACACACACACACACAGTTTGAGGCTACAGATGTCACTTAGTGACAGTGTGCTTGAAGGGCCAGGGTTCATTAAACCCTGCCCAGATGCTGCTCCCTGAAGAGTGCTCTGAACTGAGATTTCTGGTTCTTCCCTAAAAATAAAGACCAATAGTGTTAGAAGAACCGATTTGTGTTTTAAAAACAGATTAGAAAGGATGAGCACAGTAGTACATGACTGTAGTCCCAATTATTTAGAAATAGATCCTCCTGAGGCAGGAGGATCACCTAAGCTTAAGAGATCAGAGAGAGAGATAGAGAGAGAGAGAGAGAGAGAGAGAGAGAGACAGACAGACAGACGGGGAGAGAGAGAGAGAGACAGAGACAGAGACAGAGAGACAGAGAGAGAGAGAAGCCATTTCTGGTGGCTTGCAACTGTAATTTCAGCACTCTGGGCTGAGACAAGAGGATCACCAGCAGTTCAAGGCTAGCCTGGGCTACAGAGGCTGGACTCTGTATTCCAGAGGACTGGAGGTGTGGCTTACTTAGTTGGTAGAGTGTTTGGCTAGCATCCACAAAGCCCTGACTTCGATCCCCAGCTCTTCATCCATTGGGTGTGGTGGTGAATCCCTGTAATATCAGCACTCAACTACATAACACATTTGAGATCAGACAGGAGCATATGAGACTGTCTCAGAAAACACAGTACAATCTTGTCAGCAAAATACCCCAGCACTTGTCATGATCTGATGACCTGAGCTCAGTCCTCAAACCCATTGTGGAAAACAGAGAACCAAATCCTGAACAGTATACTCTGACTCCCATTTTCAAGCTATGGCATCAAACTCAGGTATGTGTACCCCAACACAACAACACACACACACACTAACCCCCCCCCCAAAAAAAAGAGATAAAGGGACTAGGCATAGTGACACATTACTTTAGTCTTTCCATTCGGGAGGCTGGGCCAGATTAGTGAATTAGAAGCCATCGTGCAACTCTTGTCTCAAGGGCCAAAAAAGAAAGGAAGCAAAGAGAGAAACAGGAATCACCCTGTTACGGTGCAGTGCACTCCTAAAAGCGTATGCCCCCTAAAAGCCTTGAGCATCAATACTCTACATTCCATACCTGAGCAGACAATGACCTTGACCTAGGAACTTTTTCCTAGAGCAGAGGCAGGGTTACTGTTTTGCCCGAGGTCACCGGAAGGAGGCTGACTTGGGGTTACGTAGTTCCTGGTCCAGTGAACTCATTATTTTTGCTACTGAGGCTGTCTGAAGACTTGTCCTTTGATCTAGTTTGAAAGAGCATGGCCAGTAATGTGGAGTAGCTATGTATCCAGAGTGGCACACAGTTCCAAGCTGGCTTTCAGATTGGCTCAGAGGCCCAAAAAGTGGGTCTGCGTTTCCCTAAGGCCTTCCCTAGGGCCAGCGAGAACTTTCCCAGAAGCAGCAAGCGGGTGGCGGCCCCAGACACTGAAGCTCATTTCTGTCTTTCTTTCCCCTGTGCTGCCTTGGGCCTGGGTCATTTCAGAGGAGCCTCAGGTAAGATGGGAGTGGGTTCCTGGCCACCGCTCTGGACAGTCCCAGGGGGAGGAACTGAGGTGGAAGAGCAAAGCTTGAGTGTGGAGGGAGGGAAAGGACCCACAGAAGGTTTACATCAGCCCTGACATCCACCCTCCCAACAGCTCTACACCATCGCCGTGATGGGCCCAGGGCCACCAGATCACCAGCCAGCCCAGATCTCCCGCCGCTACTCTGACTTCGAGCGGCTGCACAGAAACCTGCAGCGCCAATTCCGGGGCCCCATGGCTGCCATCTCCTTCCCCCGTAAGCGCCTGCGGCGGAACTTTACTGCAGAAACCATTGCCCGCCGTAGCCGGGCCTTTGAACAGTTTTTGGGCCACCTGCAGGCAGTGCCGGAGCTACGCCATGCTCCAGACCTGCACGACTTCTTCGTGCTGCCCGAGCTGCGGCGGGCACAGAGCCTCACCTGCACTGGCCTTTATCGCGAGGCTCTGGCACTCTGGGCCAACGCCTGGCAGCTGCAGACCCAGTTGGGCACCCCTTCTGGCCCAGACCGCCCCCTGCTGACTCTGGCTGGGCTGGCTGTGTGCCACCAAGAGCTGGAGGATCCTGGAGAAGCTCGAGCCTGTAGTGAGAAGGCACTGCAGCTGCTGGGGGACAAGAGACCCCATCCTTTCCTGGCACCCTTTCTAGAGGCCCATGTGCGGCTCTCCTGGCGCCTGGGCCTAGATAAACGGCAGACTGAGGCCCAGCTTCAGTCCCTACAGGAGGCAGGCCTCACCCCCATCCCGCCCCCCAGCCTCAAGGAGCTGCTTATCAAAGAGGTGCTGGACTAACTTTCACCAGTCTCAAGGCCACTTCTGAGAGAGGGGCTGCCCCAGGTCAGGGGGCTGGAGGCCATAAAGGGACACAGTGAGCAACCAGGGGCTGGAAAGGGTTCTGGGAACCCCTAAAGTAGTTCCAGAAAGAGTCTGTAGCAGACTGAGAGGAACTTCGTTTTGTGGGGCTGGGCTCCAAACAGGCTTTGCCTGGGGTTACCCTAGGATGATACAAGGAGGAAGTTTTGGCAACGGCTCTTCAGCCCACCATAGCCAGAGACTGTGGCCAAGGTCAGGATCAATGTTTCCTTTTCCATGGGCCTGGGCACCAGTAAAACAGCTTGGCTGAAGTGCTGGGGACTACTACTGGAATCCTGGAGTTTAGAGCCAGGAGGAGGGCTGTAGTTCTGCCCAGGGAAATGAAAGGTCAGCTACTCCAGTGTTAGCAGTTTCTTTATTAGATATGAGGGGCAGGCAGCCCAGCTGTCTGCTGTGACCCCTGCCTCAGGAATGGCAGTAGAAACAGTTCTTTAAAATCCCAGGCCAAGCCAGTTATCTTTGACTACAGCTTACTCGCTGATACCCGAGGCTTCAATCGGATCACACCCTCCTGGGCACAGGTCACAGCAAGGACCCCATCCTGACGCCACAGCCGCCCATGCACTAGCCCTCGAGAGCCACCTGTGGGCAAGGAGAAGGGTGAGAATGGCCTCTACTTCAGCACAAGCCTGCTTTGCCTTCGGAAGGGATTGACAAGGCAGAGCTGCCCCACACAAGGGTTCATTGGGACATAACTACTCCAAATACCCCTTTGTGAGCCTGTTACAGTCGCTGGGGGAGGGGCCTCCCCCTCCACTTGATGGTCTGAAAGCACTTTCACATATCCCATCACAGAGAAAGGCACTCTGACAGGCTCGGCCAAGCAGATTGCTGCTTCTCAGGCCACTGTCAGAAATCCATCCTTTCCTTTTATGATAAGCCAAGCAAGTCCTCTAGGGACCAGAAGGTGGCTCAGAGAGGACCTGAGACCATGAGGGGTGACCTCCTTCCCTTTCCACCAAGAGGTTCTCAACCTTGGTGGCTTCAGCCTGAGTTAGTCATCCTTAGGAGCTAACTTAGGCTTTCTTTACACATAGCAGAGCCCACTCTGATCTAACTAGCCAGAGTATGGGCTTCATTTCTTACACTGTTTTACAGACGATGACACTAAAGTTCAAAGAGGCTCAGGCTTGGCCCCAAGGATCAGGCCAAAGCCGACTGAGTTGTCCTACTTCAAGGTTGGGAGTCTTGTCCTGTGAGGCTGGTGGTATCTGAGTAACCCTTTCCTGTCTGTAAGGGGTTACTTAAGTTTTGTTTGTTTTATAAAGCAAAGCTTTTCTTCCTCTGAAGTGTACTTCATTATAAAAGAGCCAGGGCTCTAACACTAGACATCAGAGAGTCTGTGTCTCTCTTGGCTCCCTACAGGGGCATCTCTAGAGACCACTGAGTGCACTGTCCCATCCTGCCAACCCAAGGAGATCCTTAAAACACAGTTTACAGCCAGGGCATGGTGGCACACACTTTTAATCCCAGCACTCAGGAAGCAGAGGCAGGCTCATCTCTGGGTTCCAGGCCAGCCTGGTCTACAGAGCAAGCTCCAGGACAGCCAGGGCTTCATAGAGAAACCCTGTCTTGAAAAACCAAAACCAAGCAAACAAAAAGGGCAGTTTCCTGGACCTGATCTAGGACCTGCTGGGGCAGAATGCAATCTGTTTAGAAAAAGCTCCCTCAAGTAACAGCCTGATGGCTTTTTAGATAGTGCCATCTAACATAACCTGTTTATTCAGATGAAAAAAAAAAACAAACTGAGAAGCAGGGCATGGTGGCTCCTGCGTTTGGGAGGTGGAGGCAGGAGGGTCAGGAGTTCCAGGGAGGACTCCACTACATATGACGTTCAAGACAAGCAAGGGTTACATGAAACCCTGGTTGATTAAAAAAAAAAAAAAAAAGCTGGGCTACAGTAGCACACAGATATTCACAGAGCAGAAACATGTGGATCCTAGTAAGTTCTAGGCAAGTCATAGCTCCATAATGAGATCTTACCCTTCCCTGAAAGAAAAAAAAAAAGTCATCAGAAAAAAAGGATTTCCCCAAGTTCATCCATGGCATCTAAAGTGGTTCGGGCATCTGCCCTGGGTCTCTGAGATAAACTCGATCATTCCTGACGTGTTTGAATACCTTTGAAGACAACACGAATACCCAGAGGGGCAGCAGTGCAAGGGCCCTGTGCAGCATCCCCAGAAAGGAGAAAGAGGCAGTAGCATCTATAAATAAAGCAGGTTCGGGTTCCTACCATTCCCAAAGACACAGGCCCACACTTACCAGCCCAGGGGCTCTCACACTCATAGAGCATCCAGTGGTCGGCTCGGAATGGGGCATGGAACCACATGGAGTGGTCCAGCGAGACCATGAAGTTCACTTTATACTTGGACTGGTGGGGCAGCAATGCTGTACCCAGGAAGGCGTAGTCAGAGATATAGGCAGCCACACAGCAATGCATCTTGATGTCGCCCTCCCCTGCAACAGGTCCCGACCCCATCAGCCCTGGGCTCCTGGCTTTCCAGCTCAGGATCTGCAGGGAAGTGGGGAGAAAAGGGCTGCCACACACCAATTAGTCATTGTGCAAGGGCATCTGTTCCAGGGTTGGGGGTGGTGTGTAAGGATGAAGGAGGTGGGGACTAAGGACAGGAGTAAGACAAATGCAAATCATTCTTCCCAAATCTCTCACACCCAGTCACTCTCTGTGTCCCAAAACAGGCATTTTCCAATCTGTACAAAGATGTCGATGGTGCCTCTGGCCTAGATAAGAACCTCAGCAAGGTACCTTGCTTCCCCCAGAAAGGTCCAACAATGGGATTACAGTCATCTCATTATTTTCATGTTAAAGGGTAAGGGCTCTGGTGAGAAAGTGAGCCAAATTCTGCATAATTCAGATTAGGAAAGGGGCCCAAAGAGAGGGTGGGATACCCAAGCAACAGAGGGCAAATGAGTGGCAAGGCCTAGAGCCCTGGAGTATTTTTCTCCAATTCATCAGTCCTCTTACCAATATAGCCCCGGGCTCGCACCCAGAACATCTGTTTGGGTTCCAGTGTCTGCAGCTGGCTCGGGGTGGGTGGGTTCACCAGCTTGATCTCAATAGGTACCTCCTGGGCAGCAATTCGGTTCAGCCCCACTCGGTATTTCTCCTGGAGGTTAGGGTCCCTGAAAGTAAACACAGGGCCAAAGAGTCCCAAGGAGAGGAAGCTTCTCTGTGCTTCCTCTTCTGGTCCCCACAATTTCTCCATAGGGGCTTCTGTCCTGCAAAGCTTCCTCATGGAGCTGGCAAAGCAGTAGTGTTCGAATCCCTTCCTTGTCACTTCAGCCACGAAGCCTTGTGCAAGTTAGTCATCTCTCTGAGCCTATTTTCCCATTTGAAACATGAGAGTAATAAGGTGACCTGCCTTGAAGCAAACACACAGTTAAGACCTAGGCACTAGCCGGGTGTTGGTGGTGCACACCTTTAGTCCCAGCACTTGGGAGGCAGAGGCAGGCGGATCTCTGAGTTCGAGACCAGCCTGGTCTACAAGAGCTAGTTCCAGGACAGCCTCCAAAGCCACAGAGAAATCTGTCTTGAAAACCAAAAACAAACAAAAAAGACCTAGGTACCAACCCAAGCATTGCACATGACCATAACCCATTCTTTGCCAGGACTTCACATGACAAGTATGGTCATCACGCCAATTGATAAGAGGCATGAGCACAGGAAACCCAGGTGGCTTGCTCAGATGTTAGGCAGTCTGGACCCATAGTTCATCGAACCACTCATTACTGTGAACATTCAAGAAAAGTCTCCCAGTGTGTCTGCATTCTCTATCCTAAGCAGTAAGGAGCCCTGTGTACTGGGGTGATACCATTTCCATGGATGACCCCGCCCCCAGCGTTCTTAATAGGCTCTGCCCTTCCTACCCACCATCTGCACTGTCCACTGTAGCAGCCACTAGCCACATTGAGAACTTGAAATATGACCACTGTAATTAAAGAAAAACATTGATGAGGGATGTGGGGTGGAGATGGCTCCATGGCCGAGAGCCTGCCTAGCATGCACAAAGCCCTGGGTATGTGATTCTAGCACACACAAAAAAGAACTGCTCCTTCTGTTTCATTAATTTAATATAGCTTAAAGGGTTAGTAGCTACCTTATTGATGAGTACAGTCCTAAATTCAGGCTCCTTTACCAAGAATACATTATTTTCCATTTTTGCTCACACCAAGCCCCATGCTCTATTCTTGTCTGTTAGTGGCATAACTACTCACATAGCACCTGTGAAGTGCCTGTATGCCTCTCATTTAATCCTCACAGAAGCCTCATAAGGTGAGAGTTATGGTTAGCTGCATTTATAACCAAAGGTATGGACTCAGAGTGGGCAAGCATCTGAGTCATAGCGATGTTAGGGACAGAGTCTAGACTTGGACCCTGGCTGTTCAGGCTCTTGAAGCCACACTCATCCCACATGCCCTGCTGCTGCCCTAGTATCCAACACAAGCTACAGGACCTCTCCCCTTTGGCATAGCTGGAGAAATGACTGCTCCCATACTTTAGATGAAGAATCTAGGGTCTTGGGAGGTTGGTGGGAGGGGAAATCCCATAGCAGGTAGGCACTAACAGGCCACAGTCCTGCCCGGAAGCCATGTGTCTGTATCCAGAGCTCTTCCCCATATTCCAGCACTTGTCAAACTTCAGCTGTTGTGATCTCAATGAGAAATATATGCTACCAAGGTAGAATCAAGCTATTTAGAAGATACTAAAGTGAAGATACTGACCAGTGGGCCATACTCTGCCACAGGGTTCCAGAGGAGGACCCTCAACCTGCCATACATTGGCTCCAAAGCTGCTGCATCACAGGCCTCAAGTTGGAGGGGCATCAGTCAGGGGACTGGAGGCTATTTACACAGCGGTTGCAAAAACAGTCTATTGTTGGATTCAAGTACAGAGAATTGAACCTAGGGTCAATTTTTTTTAAATATTTTATTTCATTTATTATGTATGGGTAGGGGTAGTATGCATGTGTACTTCAGCATATATGTGAAGATCAGAGGACAGCCTTGTGGAATCAGTTTTATATGGATAAACCTTTATATGGGTCCCAGGGATTGAATTCAGGTCATCAGACTTGTACATCAGTACTTTTACCTGCCGACCCATCTCTCTGGCCCCAAACTAATATTTTAATAACAAGAAAACTATCCCATGGCTATGCTGGCTGAGTGCAAGCTCTGCCTTTTACACTATGACCCAAGATGCACATATGCTAATACAAACAAGAAACAACTGAAATTGAAGTTACAGAGGGCTCTTACCCTCCTTGCACAGTGGACTCCAATATCTCCTGTTTATATATACTACATATAAAATACATATATTTCTATACACATATAGTTATATATACATATATGTACATGCAGCACCTAGAGCCTTCACAGAGTATACCCCCAACCCTCCCATGTATATAAAAATTTTTAAGTAACTTGTTTTTACTTTATGTGTATCAGTGTTTATCTTCATGTATTATGTGTACCACATTCGTGTTTAATGCCCATAGAGGCTAGAAGGGAATGTCAAAGCCTTTGGAACTGGATTCAGAGGTGGCTATGAGCCACCCTGTAGGTGCTGGGTACCAAATCAGGTCCCTCTACAAAACCAATACATGCTCTTAATAGCTGAGCCATCTCAGCAGCCCACCCCCATTTTTTTTTTTTTTTTTTTTTTTTAGACAGGGTTTCTCTGTGTGGCTTTGGGGCCTTTCCTGGCACTCACTCTGGAGATCAGGCTGGCCTCGAACTCACCCAGCTCCA